CCCCCCCCCCCCTTTTTTTTTCTTTTCTTTATAATTATCTTGGGTTTAACTTATTATTATTATTACTATGAACTTGCTGTAATTTGGATTTTGATCTTTTTAATTTAGTTTTAATTTTGCAATGGGATGGATGGATGTCTCCTGGTATTTTTATTTTTTTTTTGGCTTTAATGGAAGTTATTTAGCATAGAATGAGGTTTCGATTTGAATTAATTGCGTGGTCTTTGTTGTTGTGGTGATCAACTTATGGTTTATGAAATGGAGATGGAAAGTACAAGTACTTGCTTTAATTTCCGCGAATTGATTGATCCACGAATCTCAGGGATCAGAGTATCTGAAATGCTCCGATTTATGGCGGTGGTTGTTGAAGGGACTTTGATTTTGATTTTGATTTTGATTTTAATTAAACTGATTGATCCCATCCCAAGTGTATAAAGTTGAAAGGGAGAGGTGGGAAGAGCACATGTTATTAGGTGGCGACCACTAAGGCTGGTTGTACTGTAACGTGGTTATGTTCGAGTGTGAATCTGGCCTTGATGCGTGCTGAGTTGCTTTTTTGGTTTTACTCTTGTCACGTTCTGCCTGGATTTTTACTTCACAACAGGACATCTGGCCCGCACTTGTTTTAGATCTGCATCACATTCATTTTAATCACTCCCGTGATGCCTACTTAAACAATGGATTATCGTTCCATGCCCATGCTCATGCCCGTGGGTTACCATATTTTTATAATCAAAAAAATAAGAGACAAATTCCATATATTTTAATAAGATGATACAGGACATCATTACTTTTGGACTTGGGTGATGAGATGGGCTCACTTGGGTTTTCATTATTCAGGCATACAACGCAATTCGCCTATGCAATACTTTCTCCTGATACCATTTATAATTTATAATAACAATAAAAAGTAGGTATGGTCTTTTTAGTCTCGTTGGGTTTCATGAATTTTATCTTGATTTAATTACTACTTTGCTTTTTATATTTTCATAAATTTTAGATATTAGATTTAATTACTAATTAAAGGAGAGTGAGAAACATCTCCCTTTAATTAGTGGGATAGGATATAGTTAGATAGCTAAATACAAAAGACACATAGCACTTACAACTCATGTATACATACACATTAAATTTAGTCACAAAATCACATAATATCTCAATAAACAAGTACACATGAATACATATGGATATAGACTTTGTTGTACAATATGCATGTGCATTAGTAAAACCAATTCGTTGTACATTACTCGAAGGCACATGGAGTAGCCTAAGTGAGCTTGTCGGGTCAAGCCATCATAATTATACAGTAAGAGGATATACATCAGGACACATAAGGATAACTGTAGCACACAAGTTTCACCTTATACACACAAGTGAGCGAAATTATGACTCCTAAATACACTATCTTTGTACAAAAATCCCATCAACAAACATGTAGGGAAGAGTCCATCGCCAAGTACACTACTTCCAATGCAACTCACACAAAGAATGTGCATCACTCTCTAGAAGGATCATGCCCAACATGACTATAGTCATGCCCGACAAGATTGTACTAGGGAGTCTCTAATGCTCCCACAACTAATGTGGATCATCTCTCACCCATCGTAAGTGACACAGAGAGTAGCCTATACTTTTTGTCACTCTCACACTTGATGACCCTTCTTGGCGCCTGGCACCACACCAAAATCTCTAAATTGTAGGTAGCAAACAATCACAAAAAACTTGTACTTAACCAAATCTCGAATTTGAATCGATAAAAGTGTTTTAAATTCCAAAGCATACATCTATCAACCAACAATTTCATACCTTTTCACATTAAGATTAATTATTTCATACTAATTCAATTTTCTCTATCCCTAGATTCTTCACGAGGACTCGCAATTTCAACAATTTCAAGTAATTACACATAATTAAACATAACTACTTAGCAATTACTTCAATTAGAATACAAGAGAAGCATAGGAGCACATGAATACAAGTCACAGTCAGAAATTGAGATTGCTCCCTCGTACAACATATAAGATAGAGAAATAGATTGGAGGTGAATCTCACTGTCCAATATACGTCTTAACCTTAGAATGAGACTATTTACTCCCTACTTACCTCGATGGACATTAGAAGAAGGGTATGGATCTTTGGGATGCTCTCCAATGCCTCTAATTGTCCAAGTTTTTCAAATCAAGAAACATAAGAAGGAATGAGAGGCATAAAAATAAAATTGAAGTAACTTTTCATAAAACATCTTAACTCATATCTTACCCATTAGTTAATCAAAGAAATCGTTACAGTTCCTTTTCCCTAAATAATTAAATAAAACATATAATTAATTTTTAATCATGCACTTCTCATATTTATAAATAACCCAATTAATTATTTTAAAACTCTTATCAATTTATTTATAAATCTTGGAGTGTTACACGAACAAAAAAAACTTTAAAAATTAAAATAATAATATTTTTAACTATAGGAAAAATAAAGTATACGAAATTTAAAAAGACTGGAAAAGTAATCAAAACTCTTATTTTTTATTCTATAATTAATAACATTTCATTTAATTTCATATATGTGTGTGTTATTTCTTTTTTAAAATCTTTTTAGTTTTGTAAACTTTATCTTAGCTAGATGTTATGACTAAATTGAAACAAAAATAACATATATAAAATATATTTTATATTTTAAAAATATCTATTTATACTAATTTTAAAAATAATTTATATATTCAAATATAATATTTATTTATATATAATTTATTATAGATTTTAGTTATATATAATAAATATTTGACTTGTAAAATGTATAGACTAAAATACTATTTAAAAGCTAAAAGTTATAAAACTATAAAGAGTAATTAAACATAAAAAATCAACCGTTATTTTACACCAATATTTTTATGAGTTATTCTTCAATGAAACTTCCTTTTTTTCAAAATAATTAAATAAATCATATAATTAATTTTTAATCATACTCTTCATTTAATTAAAGAGCTCATGTTTATAAATAACCCAATTAATTTTTTTTAATCATACTTTGGGATGCTCTCCAATGTCTTTAATTGTCCAAGTTATTCAAATCACATAAACATAAGAAGGAATGAATGACATAAAAATAAATTTGAAGTAGCTCTTCATGAAACTTCTTAACTCATATCTTACCCATTAATTAATCAAATAAATCGTGGTTACACTTCCTTTTCCTCAAAATAATTAAATAAAACATATAATTAATTTTTAATCATGCACTTCATTTAATTAGAGAGCTCAAATTAAAGTCAATAAATATTAGTATTCAATTAAAGTGATTAATCAAATTCTTTGATAAAAATTAATTATCGATAAAGTCAATAAATATTTTAGACCTAGAATATAATTATCAAAAGATATACAATAGACTCACATTTATTATTTTTCTTAGGACTTATAAAATGTCAAAATTAACCCTATTTATACAAGTTTATTATTTTAGAAGTTTATGACTATTTTTCATAAACTAATTAAAATAACATATATCTCATAAGTTATTAGTTTTTATTTATTTTTTTATCTTTATTAATTTAATTAAAATAATTTTCCTTTGTAAATTATAAAATATTTTATCTATTATGTCATTTTCTCACTTTAAATATAAAAATTATTTTATATAATTTTATATTTATTAATTAGTTTATCAATTAATTTTATTAAATAATTTTAATACTACAAAGTAGCCTATAAATTTTTAGTTTTTTAACTCTCTACTTATAAATTAATTTTACGAAACACATAAAATGGAATTATAATTTAGTCCCGATTTGAAAAAGTAATTTCGCATATTTTTCTTTTATATATAATCAGCGTGTCGTGCAGCTATTTTGTTGTGTGAATTCTGCGCCTTCAGATGCTTTGGAGAGTGTGATAAATAATTAAGGTGTGCTTTGGAGTGTGTTATGAGAATTGAGGTGACCACTTAGTAGTGACCACCCCTGATCCATTTGATCATGTTTAAAGTTTCATTGCTAATTAATTTAACGGTAATTATTTAAAAATTATAAGAATAATAATTATTAAAATGTGCGTTTTAACTAAAGAAATACACTTACATTATCCCGTAATTTTTTTAGTAAATAGTATTTTTATTGTAAAAACTTATTTATTATCTTTAATTAATATAGTATTCATTTGTTTTGGTAAAGTTTATAATACTATAAAGAAAAATGTAACTATTTCATGTTTGGTCAATAAAAGATACTACCCCCAAAAATATCAATAAATAATGCTTATTTTAAAGATAAACAATGCTTTGAATACGTTGTTTCGTTTCTAAAAAAAATTATTATTTATACATATAACAATGACTATTAATACAAAATATTTTTTAAAAAATATGTTATTTATAGATATAAGAAAAGATAAAAGTTAAACAACTTTTTGTCTAAATACAAAAAACACTTACTGTCATGATATTATAGCAATACTATTACAATTCTTACCATTGTTACCTACTATTATTATTACTATCACAATCGCCTATAATTATTGTGGTTAACCACCACTATTGAAATTCATTATTATTAACGTTATATATCTTGTTTCTATCAATGTTATTTTTGTTATTATTGTCATTATTTATGATATCAATGTTATCATTTTTATTATTATTATTATTATCCTATTCAAACAATAATAATTCATTACGATAATTAATATTAAAAAATTTAATAAACTTAATATTACTTTGTTTATACAATTCATTATTCATTAAACAATATAAAAATAAAAAGCTATTCAATAACTTAAAAATATTTTTCTTATATTATTCTTCTTTTCTTGTCACTTGATATATATCAAACATACTTATAATATTATGTTAGGGCATTAGATACATACAACTTTTCCTAGATTAATAGTTACCAAGTATTAAATATTAAAAAATATATAAAAATATTAAAAATATGAAGGCTATTATATTTAAATGAAATTTTTTTATTTCAATTAATTAAATTCTTAATATAAATGTTGAAACCTTTTCAATTGTGTACATATAAAAGTTTTTTATTTATCAACATGATCCATACAGTATTAAAATTGACGATTAGGCTTTGTTTGGATTTGAGGATGGAAAAGGGGGAGTGAAAAAGGAGGGATTTGAAGGAAAAGTGAGTGGAAAGTGAAGTTGTTTGGATTAAGGGAAAGGGAGTGGAAAGTGTAGAGAAAGTTTGTGAAAGTTTGTGAGTGAATTGATTGATGTGATAGATAAAAATAAATTTTTTAATTGATAATTGTGTAAGATTATTATTTTGCCCTTTGGTTAAAAAAAAGTTTTTAATTATTATAATTAAAAGATAAATATATAAATTTTAACTAAAAAAATTATAAAATATTAATTTAAAAATAATTTAATTTAAATATTTGCTTTAAATTTAATGATAGATAAAAATAAAAAATTTAATAGATGAATATATAATTTACACTTTTACCGTTGGATTAAAAATGAGTATAATATTATTTATTGTAAATAATAATAATTACAATAAAATTATATTAATAGGTATAATTTATTAAAAAAATAATAAATAATGATAAGAATAATAATAAATATTAGAAAAATGATAAGAATCATAATAAATAATAATGATACTAATTATAATAAATAATAATAATATTAATAAAAATGAAAATAATAATATTTTATAATAATAAATAATAATAACAAAATATATCATGAAAATTATATTTTGTAAAACAAAATTTGATACCTAGAACGGACCGTTCTCAGATCAGAACGGGTCGTTCTGGGGTTACAAATTAACCCACAACGTCCATCTATGAAACGGCCCGTTCCCAAAGTGGAACGGCCCGTTCTGAGTTCGCATTTTGCATATAAAATTCATTTTTAGAACGAGTCGTTCTAGGTTCCATTGGAAGCGAAAATATCCCAGCATAATCGATTATGCTTGGCCACATAATCGATTATGGCCTTGCATAATCGATTATGCAAGGCCATAATCGATTATGTGGCCAACCATAATCGATTATGCTTCCTTCGTATAACCGATTATGCATGCATGGGACAGTGACATTTTCGGGTTTTCACAAATCCTACGTGGCTTTCTTCTCCTTTTCCCGCTTTTGTGCGAGGACGAGAACCACGTTTCTCCCCCTTTTTTTTCGCCTTTTTGTCGTCGCAAATCACCGGAAACAAACAGTAATTTTCTTCGCCTTTCCTTACTCGTGAATAGTAAATCCCTGGAAACAAATACTTTGTTAATGATTGATGTATGTTTGTTAAGAGTGACTTCTATTATAAGAATTAAATATATGTAATTTTGTTTACGTTATAAAAAAGAAATAACTATCTGTTTTAGTTTAAATTGATTTGATTCATAAATCATAGTCGCAGTTGAATTATGTTAAAAAAAATAATTAAGTAACTTAGTAATTTATCATATTAGTTAAAGGAGAAAACTTAGGTAAATTACCATGATTGAGTCTATTTTATTGAAATAAATCCCATTTTTTAACCATAAACATGGATTTGAGGCTCCCAAATACCATTTTAAACAAACCACTGGATACAATTATTGGGTGGAATACTGGAATACAAGAAACAAAATATAGTTTTCACTTTCTTTTTCACACGTTACCTGTTGCTATCAAGTTATTAACTCTTTAAAAGAGAAAGACATATTTGTTTGTTGTAATAATTGATACTCCTTTCTTCTTTATTATAAGAATTCTTTTAAATATAAATAAATGTTAACTATATTTACTTCATTTAAAGATACTTTCTATAAAATATATCTCATTTATTCAATTATATATATTACTTATATATATATAGGGAACATATCAAGTGAGAGGAAATTAATCTAAGGGTTATATTTATAACCCTCTCATCTATCATAATAAATTCTTTCTTACTTGATATGCTCCCTATATATATATATATATTTATTTATTTATTTATAACAAAGACAATTTAAAAAAAAAATGTTATAGAATTAGTAAAATTTAATGTAAATAATTAATTTCTTAATATGCATAAAATTAGTTTTTTTAATAGTAAACAAAGAAAGTATTATAATATATTATAAAGAGGGTATTTTATGTGTTTTTATTTATTTATTTATTTATTTTCAAATAAAATTAAAGTTTCAAATAAAAATTGCACAATATATGTTGACATTTATTAAAGTGAAATTTTAATTTCTATTAAAAAGTAAAACTTAAACTACTTAAGATATTATCCCTAAATTTAGTGTCTTTGTTTGTGAATAATTTTCATAAAGAACTTGACGAACCACATTTGAAGGGGTATGTCTCCTATCTCAACACATTTATTTGGTTTATAAGATTTGAAATTGAAATTTTATTTAAGAAAATTGAGTCTAATACTACTCAAACTAACGATATGTTGAAAACAATAAAATTAAAGAGTTTTTATTTAAATAGTACCATTTACTATGTCATAAATATCTACATGTTTAAGTAATTAAAATAACTTAAGGTTCATTTGATTAAATTTTAAAGAATATATATATATATATATATAT